ACAAAACCCTATCTATAACGAACCATATATCTTATGATGGGGATATGTTTTATGTTTACGAGGGATTAGCACTAAGATGAAATGTGAGCCAGGGTGTGGTTTTGTGGGGGGATTTACTTCATTTGTAAGGGAAAATAAATAATAACAAATTATGGTAATTATTGCAGGATGTGTAATACATTCTTTGATACTTCCAGCAGCTAGAAATTCTTGCCACTTTTGCCTGTTTTATTTTTCCTACTGCGAAACTCACAGCGCAACAATCAATGAGTATGTTCCTCTTCAGATTCCGCTTGTGAGTACATCCCTAAGTACTCTTTGATTCATGTTATTAAATAAAGGAAATCTGTATACGCTGGTACAATCTAGTGATAGTAGACCCACAATATGTACACAATTATAAGTACAATCATCAAGCCAGCAATCCACTTTTACCCTGGTCGGGTGCATACTGGAAACAGTCAGATTTTGATGGCTCATCCGATAAGACTACTTACTATATGTACATCTGTGAGAACCATCTGTTCTATAAGCTATCAGCATAACTTTAGGACTATTTGCTTGGCTTTTGCCGTGGACAAAACTAAATATTGACAAGGACTTTGCATTTATATTTCCAGACAGCCCAGGTCCCAGTGGATTGTGGACTTAAACGTTGATGTAAATTTGCAACTGGATTATGCAACAGCAGACAGGCGGTGGAGAGCGAGCGAGGTGACAGACAGAGACAGGAGACAGCAGACCAGACCAGACCAGACCAGAGATAGACTGAGCGAGTAATTATCAGTGGCAGATTATTATCATCATCATCTAGAGCAACAGCAGCAGCGGCAGCTGCGATGCAGCAACGGTAACACACAGATCCGGAGAGGATCAGTGGGGCACTCTCTGTCTGTTCCCTCTCGCTGTTCCACGCTCTTCCAGCCGGAACACAACAATGCCCAGGGCCACATTCACGGATCGCCTAGACCGAGACCATTGTGAAAACAGTTGAACATCGCCGCGTACCGGTTGTGGTTGCGCTTGGCGGATACGATTGCGGCAGGACTAGTCCACGGCAAACACATATCCGGAGTGAAAATTAACAGCAATTAAAGCAAGTCAAGGCAGGCAGCAGGCAGCAGGCAGCAGCCCTTCAGCTCAGATGCTGACCACAGAGATGGGCACAGCGGCGGGGCCCACGCCGATTATTGTCAGCAGCAAGCCACAGAAATCTCATTGCCAAGGCCCGACGCCGGCGTCGGAGCAGCAGCTCCTGCAGCATCCCACCCACCTGCACATCCACACACATGGCCACGTCCATGGCCATGGCCAGACGACACTCTGCGAGAAGTTCTCGCCGGAAACGCCGCGGCGGAACCTCCACGAGCTGCTGCTGGAGCTGCTGGACATGCTGCTCTCCTGCCTGGTGGTGGCGCCCTGCGTCATTGCCTACTGGCGCGGCACCTGGGAGCTAATGGGCGTGATGCTCTTCCCCAGCAGCCTGCCGCTCTCTGCGCTCTCCTCCTTTCTCATCGGCGGTGTGGGCCACTTTGTGTTCACCATCACGCAGAACTTCTTCAAGGAGCACATCCACCCGGACAAGCGGCGACTCACCTACTACACCGTCTCGCGGCTGTACACCGCCGTCTTTGGCATTGTCTGTGTCAACATGTGGCGCGGTGCCTGGATGCTCTGCGACTGGCTGACCAGCGTCGATTCCCTCATCATTGTCTCCGTGGTGACGGCCATCGCGCTCATCTTCATGGTCGCCACGCGCACCCTGCGGAACCTCGGTGCCGCACCCTACACGGTCACAATGGATCACAAAACGGACTATTTCGATGTGGGCACCATGTTCAAAATACCCGTAAGCTAAAGGAATAAAGTATTCTGTTAAATTTATTACTATTACATGGTATCCATCCCATATTTCTGTTACTTATATTTCAATTTTCTTCAATTTTGACTTTCACTTCTTTGATTCATTGAAAGTCTTCCTTAAAGTATCAATTGATTACTTGTAGATCAGATCGCTTCCCTAAATTAGCTAGCGATCAGTGATTCACGCAGTTTCTAAAATTCTTTATTTCAAGTTTGAACTTTCAAAATTGCATACAGCCAGTGCTGTAATAGTTTCATATTTTCCATATCAAACAAAGTTCGTCCGTCTCTCTTTTACTGCAGCCACTGTTGGTTGTCTCATAGCTGCCAGCATTGATTGTTCATAGCAGCCACCTCTTGGTTATTCCATGGACCATCCTACGTGAAGAAAAACTGAGAGAAGTTGTTCACAGACACAGTCCGACCGCTTTTTATCAAGAATTTACATTCACATCAACTTTAGATAGTCACTAGCAAAACATTATTAAATATACATACAAATTCAGTTTAATATGCTGCCGAGTCGTGTAAAGCTGCTGTACCCGTACTTACAAACATTAATACAAATTTAATAAGCTGATTAAATTATTTCTTTAAATTTATGAGCCAACTAAAAGGCTATTACTGACTGCCTATGAAATTATTGGCACGTGTGTCCCATCAAATGTGCCAAGTACTCAGTATCGTGAGACGAGTCTACTCCATAAATATGTAGACAAACAAATACATAAATGTTTATATTTATGTGTTAATTCCTAACGTGTTTCTTCCCTTTTATATTCTTTTCCCAAAGGGCTTCCACCAACCTGGCCTCTATGTGCTGGACACACTCTTCTCGGTCTTTGTCATTGGCAGCCTGGTGGTCATCGCCTGGCGCGGTGTCTGGGGCATCTTTGACCTGACGCTGTTTCCCAAGGACAAGGCCAAATCGGCATGGGGATCGCTGGTAAGTCTGGAAATTGAAGCCACATCAGCTTGAAGCCTTCTAAAACTTATATCTGTGCAGCTCATTGGATATCTGACTGTCTTTGTGACATTTCTGATACATCCACTGATGCGTTATGTGTGTCGTCGTATAAGCGGCATCCTGAAGCTAATCATTTGCGACATTTACTATCTGATGACATTCTTTGGGGCGGTGAATGCTTGGCGTGGTATCTGGAATCTACTGGATGTGTATCTATATCCGGGTAAGGGATTTACCCAATTTACGACTGTCTACCTGTGCTGAATCTTCATCTAATTCTTAGACAATCGACTGATGAGCTTCTGGCTAACGCACATCATTCCCTTTCTGCTGCTGGCTGCCATCAAGTGCTCCAACTCCATCCTGGTGCGTGGCGTGTTCATTGATGGCGATGGCACTGGCGCCGAGAGCGTGGACATTCCCATAAACTATGTGCGGCTACACTTTCTGCGAGAGCGACGCAAAAAGGTGTCACAGTCGTCGACACCACCGCCGCACTATTACCTGAAGCCGGAGCATGCGACGCTCGGCCGCAGTGCGGAGAAGGACAAGGAGGCGCAGAGCAGCCTCATCGAGAAGCCACATGCCAACGTGCAGATCGTTTAGCCACGTGCCGCGTTTGTTATTGTTTCTATGTTTAGCTGTTAAACTAGTTGTACGCTTAAAATGCCTTAAGAAGTAATCTTAACTCACGTCTAACGAGCTTACTTAAGAGTCAGATGCGTAGCCTAAGCCCACTCGACCTAATTCTAGTTTGTTATCCTACTCATAATCCCACGCCTTGTCCTGTATAAAAGTTAACCAACGAAGAATAGCCTTTATGCCTTTTCTCACTGCACTTTCGACAAGTTTCACAAAGTGAGTGACCAACGCCAGCGCACCATCAACACACCAAATCACACCCCACCACGCCACAAACCCCCCACAACTCAGCCAATACACACACCATGGTGAAACAGCCAGCTGGCACACACCACGATACGATTACGAATATAAATATTGTACATTATTCGTATTATAAAATCAAATGAATAAATCTTTGTAAATATATGTAAAGCAAACACAGGGGCAAGATTTTTTAACTGGGGAATTTGGGGCATAAAGGAGAAGATGCTCTTATGAAATATGGAAAGGCAATTTCCTAATATGTATAATAATATTTCGTGCAGTTCCTCACTGCAAATGCTACTTGCAATACTTTTTATTAGTAGTCTTTGGGTCTTTGGTTTCGTTTTGTTTAAATTGTCAAATTATGTAGCACTTTTAAAATTACATTAAATATATATTGAAGGAAGCCAAAGAACGAACCGCAGACTAGGCTAGCATTTATGGCCGTCTGTTTTTATTCAATGTAATTTTTCATTTCGCTTTCTCTAAATACGAAAAATACAATAAAATAAATAAAACAAATAAATATTTAGTCTCTCACAGCCCAAACAATTCGCCAGCTATGAACTTGTCATTCCTGGCATCACAATAAAATAGATAGAAAGCGAAATCTACATTGTTCTGGGTCAAAAACAAACGAAATCGCTGATAAATTGAGCAACAAATCGAATAAATGGCCACCATTGAACAACATATATATGTGCTCTATGTCTTTGCATTCAAAGGTACGTCAATGTCTACCTGTAGGGCACATCTGAGCTCTGACAGCGCACGTGTTAGGATACAAATTCTTTAAGAGATCAAAGTTAAAATCATATTTTAAATGTTGCTCCTTACTTGGATACAATCCGATCCTAACAGCACTGTTGATGACATCGAAATGAATTATTTATTTATTGTCCATTGCCATAGCAACAACTACGCTCCAAATAATTCAATTGATTAGGATCTACCCACATGACGTCATGGTGGACCTTAACGACGACACCCCTGCTGCGCGAAGATCCTATTAGCTTAATCCTCAAAGACACAGGCACCTGCATTTCCTTCCTCTACTAATATTCGAACCATAAAATAGAAATGGGTAGCGCATTGCATGTGCAGGCATCAGCCGAAGCAGCCAGCCAGCTGTTTGGGGGGCGCCCTTCTGAAGAGATCTCCTCCTCTGTCTTTGCAGCTAAAATAAATACGCAAATACAAATCGAAAACGCAAAATAGAAAGCAATTGATATTGCGAGCAGAGCGCCAATTTGCCAGCAACTTGGCATTTTAGTTTGAAATTTGCGACGGCTTGCTGAAAATCAACGATCGCGATCCGCGGCGAATAAAATATATATAAATATTTTCTGACAATTTTTGTGGCAATTAAACCTTGAGGGACTGCCCTTTGGGATAACTTAGAACTTCAATCTGTGTAGTTAAAGCTAAAGGGAGAGCAGGAAGCTATACAAGTTCCACAAAAAAAGAAGTTTTCAATTTATATAATCGAAAAGTGCGCAGCAGTTGTTAAAGTTTCAATCGTTTGCACTCGTCATGGGCATTATTCCGGATATACGCCAGCTGGTGACGCTGGACTTTGAGGTGTATGGACATGTGCAAGGTGTGGCCAGGCAGGACCAAAAACGGTTGGGCGCACGGGGCAAAGCTCAAGGCTGCAGCTGCAGCCAAAAATAAACCCAAAGTAGCTGCTTACTTGGTGGGGCCACAGCGGCTGTCCTTGGCTTTGTTTCGGCACTTTCACTCGACTGCACAGCATAGAATATAGTAATGAAGAAATCTGTACAATTGCCAGGTCTGAATCTAACGAAAGATACACGCGATCGCTGCACCAAGGCGGGCATCACTGGATGGGTGAAAAACAGCAAGCAGGGCACAATTGTTGGCAAAATGCAGGGCCCCAAGGAGGAGGTGGACAAGATGTGCGTAGCACATGCACTTGGCTAGGACATAAATGATTTTAAAGTAATGAAATCCATTTTCCGTAGGATCACCTGGCTGTCTACTGAGGGCTCGCCTGGCTGCGAGATCCAACGCTGCGATGTGCGGAATCAGAGCAACCTCAACCGACTGGATTACAAGGACTTTGCCATTAGATTTTAAATGTGCTGCTGCCCCATCATATCAACATATGGTGTGGCTTGCACTTTTTGTGTTTGTTTTGTGCACTATTTCGATAAGTTTGTAAATAATAAATAAAAACGCTAAGCTCCCCCGATGCGGCAGTCACTTGAAGATCTTTGGGCACAGAGTAAAACAGCGCACGATGCACATACGGAGCTTGAAATCTATTTAGTTTTCAATACAGAAGCGTAACGTAACACATCGTCGACTTATACTAATATGCGTACACCTACATGGGGGCCGTAGGGTCGCTTAGCAGGACTGGAAACGGCCGGCGGCCTTCATGCGCTCGAAGGACTTCTTGGCGTCGTACTTCCTGCAAATTGCAAATGAATTGATGAGTGCACCCTAGACACATTTATGATTCTTGTACTCACTGGTAGAACTCGGCGTAGGCGGCCTTCTTGGGGTCGTTGACAAGCATCTTGTAGGCGACGGTGATGATGGCGGTCAGGCCCAGGGACACGGCCAGATTGCGCTTGATGGTGGCATTGTGCAGGCCACGCAGAACTGGGCCGGCGGCGCTGGCTGCAGAGGTTGCTGGAGCGTTGGTCATCTTACTGCTGGCTGTAAAGAAAAGAAAATTATTTGTATTGGTCACGGGTTACGTAATTTTTGCAGTGCCACTTGCGCAGTGCACGTAGAACTAGCAGCAGTATGCCCACCAATAACTAGCTATATAACGAGAATATATAGCAATTTTTAGATCGGACAAGACACCAGTATTTGTGTTTACCTAAAAATTAATAATTTTACTCACATTTGCTAAAAATTCTTTCGTCGAATACAGTGTGACCGCCGACTTATCGATGGAATAAACCTTTTGACACTAAAAATATACCAAAATATACCATCTAATATTTAAAATATACCAATGAGAATCATATTTGTCGATTTTGAGATTCTGTCTAATATTGCCAGCTGGTTGGGACTTTTATATCTAAAACTATAATATTAACCGCTTGACTAATACATTTTTTACAATTATCACTTATTTAGAATAACAGAATAACTATTGGTTAACTGTACTAAAAATTAAACTGAATGATCAAAGACTTAACCCTCTTAACACCCCTTCACATGAATAGGTGTACAACGCTTTGAGATATTTCTTGTAAATCCTAGCAGACTAAGCCATATGGAATAAACTGTATCGGTTATATTACATGAAGTCAATTTCAAAGCGAAATCGAAACATCCAGAAGAGTCCTGTATCGATAACGATATACCTTCAAATCAGTGCTGCAATGCACACTCCTTTATATATAATATGCGATACCAATAGTTAGTTATAAAAATTACAATGAAATCTTTGAATTATTAAGTTAACCCAATCTACACTTAACACTCCGCATTTTAATTTATTATTATGCAGTGCTGGTCAACAATCATATGTTATCCACGAAAACGCATCCCGGTGGTCATATTTAGTGTATTCTCGAAACCAGCAGATTGGCATCTCCGGCTGGAAAATAAAAATGGCTACCACAGAAGGCGAATGCAAATGGCGGTTGTTATTGTTCGTGGAATTTCTATAATTACGAAGATTTTTTTACAAAATAAACAAGAAAAACACATTGCTACAGCAATTGCAATAAGCTGAAAAGCATCTACACATATTCAATTACATCCGTGTGCGGTTACCAAGTGTCCATTCGCTCGCGCTTCGTGTGAAATTATGCTACAAATTTGCTACCAAACGCAATCGTTGTAACAAGAAAAAATTTCAGGCGCTTCTGAAAAGCAATATTATTAGTTTCAATGCATGCCATGAAAGACAGTGAAAGCACAATAAATTGAATCAATTCGCTGTGAATGCTATCAACTATATTGTAAACAACGAGCTGTGCGATTTCTACACGAAAAAAGTTATTAAAGTGACGCAGGAAAATCGGAATCGGCAGCAGCAGCACCAGCAGCAAAAGCAAAACCCAACACCAACGGAGCCCTGCCCGCGCCCCGCACGTTTTCAGTGTATGTGTGTGTGTGCGAAAGTGTGCGTGTGTGTTGAGGCTACTATTAAAAAGTAGCAGGCAGTGGAAAAAAATGCCCAAAAACAAAGTTGCAAAGGTTAAATAAAGTAACTAAAAGAATGATTAGCTGGAAATGAGCGGATCCAGTCCAGTGAAACCTAACAAATAGTGGCCACCGCGAGCAAGTGTGTAACGTGAGAGGAGCGAGCGAGCGAGAGAGAGAGCGCGTGAGTTTTGTGGCAACCAAAAAGGCGACACATGCAACGTCGTCCCAATTATCACCGCCGCTGCTGCACGCTGGTTAGGGTTATCTCGCTGCCAGGAGTCGTCCAGTCCGCCAACAATCTCTGGACCAGCAAAGACAATTTATTTTGGTACCGCTTATCGGTACCGGAGCATCTAAAGGAGGATTACCAATTAAAAATGCAAAAATGCAATTGTTTAAATGCAAAGAACGACGCTACATGAATTATCTGCATTTGCTGCAAATAATAAATTTCAGTTCGGGCGGGGATATGTGTTTTGTGTTCTACTCTTGCCGTGCGCGTTCTTCGACTTCGACACCCATTCGATACGACGATTGTTTGTGCTAAATGCGATATTTGAGCAGCATTCTACCAATTAAATCTACGACGCGTGCGATTGTCGTGTGATGATATGCCACTTAAACAGGTGAGTGTAGCGTATAGGTCGATGGATATGCCGCATCGTCGGCGAGAAGCTTTTCCTTCACTTCACTCACTTTTTGCCGAACAGCTGATGTGTGATTATTGCACTGTTTGTGTGCCGATTTTCTGGAGGGGGGAGTAAAGGGTCATTCATTGAACACTTGCGTCACCCACGCAGGTCCGCAATGAACAGCAACTAAAACTCATTTGAACGTCATGCGTTTGTCGTGTGTGTGATTGTGTGTGCTTAATTTTTTGCTTCTTTTTTTGAGTTTATTGAGGCACCACAGCCACCCGCTCTGGCCCCCTGCCTTACTTCTAGCAAGTATTTTGGTTACCTTTCCCCTCTTACCAACACACACAACGAACACACGCACACCCTTCCAAGAGGCCAAGAGAAGAAAAATGGCGACGACGGGGTATCGATAACCAGAGACGACAAAAGAAAACGCGCTCCTTTGCAAGCACGCATGTGAAAATGCAACCTGTGGCAAACCCCCCCCCACCATGCCACAGAGGCTCCGCAGCACTTGGTTCCCATAGAAAGTCCATCAAGTTGCAGATTAGCGCAGAGTTTGTTCCCCAGTATTCTTTTAGCCGTACCATCGTTTCATTTAAATCCATAGATTATTCCTGTTGAATAAATTGTTGTTGGAATTTCCAATGAGTCTCGTATAGCCGTCCCGCTCCCACACCTCTCACACAGCACAGCTACGAATCAGCAGCACAAAACAGAATCGTCAAAACGTTTAATTGCCCTTTCTTGCGGACAAACCAGGCCCACGAGCAGAAATGTTTAAATAAATAATTCACCATCGAGCTGGTTTTAATTTTTAATAATTTTGTGAGACCAACAAAATGTGCTCTGCGTTTAATAGCTCTCTCTCTCTGTGAGTGTGTGTTTGTGTGCGTTGTGTAAAGCCAGGGCTGCAACATCATACGATAGCTGATTCGATAGTTGTCTTCTGTGTATCGATACATCAATATGTATATTCAACAAACGAAATTTGCCTGTTAATTTGTTAATTAAATGTATTAAAGCCGTGTGAATTGAAAATGTATTTTCTTGGCAAATTGCAGCAGCTCGAACCGTCATCTGTGCGGATATCGGTGTCTCTCCCGTGGGATGCAGCGCAACGGCTACGTCAACTGGCAGCCGAGGGCAATCCCGCTCTGCGTGCCCTCGGCATTCTGTCCGTGCAACCTGAAGGCGATTCTGTGATAACTTTGAAAGTTGGTGGACAAGATATTAAAATAACAAAAGGTATGTGTCAGCAGAGTGCACATAATTGATTAGTTTAATCCTAATACCATATGGTCTCTTCCCTTAGATAATGTTAATGATGTGGTAGGAGGAGGAGTAGGTGGTACAATTGAGGCGGCTGGCACGTCTTCCAACAAAGTTTTGGCGACGCAGCTGTCGGCCCCAAATTTCGATGGCCCCAGCACCAGCAAGGCGGCGTCAGCCTTCTTGCAGCAGCAACAGCAGCGGATTGTACAATTACAGCAAAATGTTTCAAACGATGCAATCTCAAATCAACAGCAGCGGCGCCCGGGGCTGCCACAGCAGAAGATGCAACTGCAGCAGCAGCAACAACAGCAGATGCAACATCAGCTGCCGCCATCAACACCGCCCGTCTTCAAGTCCCCCAACACGGTGTGCCCCATGGAGGGTAAAGTGCCACTGCTGCTGCCCTCGCCATCGGGAACGCCGAATGGGCCAAGGGACTATCCCTTTGAGAGCATGCGACAGGCTCGTGTTCTGCAGGGTAGGGAGACATCTACCGTCAGTGGACTGGCACCACCGCCGCCTCCGCCAAATGTGACGCTAAAAGTGTTGAAGAATCCGGCACAGAACGGAGAACTTCAACCGACAACGCCGCCAGGAACGGTTATGGGGCTTGGTCCGGGACCTGGGCCGGGGCAGGTCAACAAATCTCAATTCATTCAACCACCGCCTCCGCCATACCCCGGTCTGGGCGTAACAACAGCCACAGCTACAGCCAACAGCTCTCCCATAGCCATAGCGGGTGCGAATGCGAGTGCCAAGCAGCCCGCAAACGCAGTCGCCAATGCGAATGCATCTGCCTCCAGTCCACATCCGCACCCGCATCCGCCGCCACCATCGGCCACGTCGACGGGAAGCAACAACATTGCCATATCGTCGCCGCTGCTGGTGAATCTGTTGCAGAACGACGGCAATGCCATGTCGAATCCAAATCAAATGAAATCCCCACTGCAATCGCCAATGATCAATATGAGTCCCAGTGGTGCGCAGATGATGAACTCACCGATGCGCTCCTCTGGCCCGGCGACGCCCAGCGATTTCATGATGAACGATGTCCTCAGTCCGGTGATACCTTCATCTCCCACAACACCACAACAGACGGCAAGTGTGCCCTGTCCGCCAGTGGTTATGCGGAGCATGCAACAACAGCAGCAGCAGCAGCAACAACAAGCGATGCTCAGTCCCAGTGGCAACAATGTCAATCATTTGTATCCTCAGCAGCCGATACCCCAGCATCGCTTTGCGCATCAAATGTCGCCACTGGGTATTGCACAATTGCACGTACTGCGGCAGCAACAATTTCCGCGTTCGCAGCAACAGCAACAACAACAACAGCAGCAGCAGCTACAGGGCATGCAGCCGCGTTTTATGCAAGCCTCGCCTCAGCAGCAGCAGCAGTTTCAGCCTGCGTCTGGTATGTCCAGCTTGTAGCAACTGCTGCAGAAATTTACTCACATTTTGGTTATTCCTTCTCCAGATTGCTTCAACAATATGGGCATGAGTCCCATGCCGCAGCAACAGCAACAGCTGAGGCAACAGCAGCAGCAAATACGACCTGGACCTGGTGGACTGCCACTGGCGCCTCCGCCGCCACATCCGCAGCAGCAGCAACAGCAGGCGCATCAGCGTCTCATGAGTATGCCCATGCAACAGCAAGCCTCGCCCCAGGCACAGGCTCAACAGCAATTCATGAGTGGGGCCTCGCCCCTTGGCTCAGCGCACTCACCCGCCTCCAGTCACCATTCGATGCACAGTCCGCTAATGGCCAACCATCAGTCAGCACAAATGGTGTCGCCAGTGGCTCCACCGGCAGCTGGCCCCGTTCCCGCTGCGGCATCGAATGAGCTGGCGGGGACGCATATGCAACAAAATGCACATCATGTACCTGCAGCGCCACCGCCGGACTACAATCAGGCGGCGGCCAATTCACGCTGGCCGGCACTCAACAAGCCAATGGATTCGGTGACCAAGAGCAGTTTCCAGGAGTTTACGCGCTATCAGATGCAATACAATCTCCAGCAGCAACAGCAACAGGTTCATCTGCCTGGACAACAGCAGCAGCAACAGCAGCCGCAGTCACAGCAGCAGCAACAACCACAGCAGCAGCAACAACAACAGTTGCCACCGCCACCATTGCCAACGCAACATCAGCAGCAGCAACAACAACTGCAGGCACAGGCACAGCAAGCGGCTGGTGGTTCGGGTGTCACGCAGGGCCCACAGGTGGTGGATCCATTGATATCGCTATCTGTGCTGGATGCCTTAACCACAAACGACTTGGACGCTTTACTGCCAACACTCAACTGTGATCTTGACTCGACGCTTAGTCTCGAAGATAAAAATGAGCTCGAATCGTTACTGCAAGATGCAAAGGATCTGGATTTGGATTTAATTGAGGAGAATCTGTCTGCGGTAATGGATGTGGGAGATGCATTAAGCACGCTGCAAGAGGAACAGCAACAGCCACAGCAGCAGCAACAGCAGCAAACTGTAATGCATAACCAACAGCAGCAGCAGCAGCAGCAGCAACAAATAATTGGCATGCCCTATCAGCAGCAGCAGCAGCTACAGCAACAGATGATGATGCAGCAGCAGCAGCAACAACAGCAGCAGCAGCAGCAGAGACAGCAGCAACAGATGCCACAGTTGCAGCAGCAGCAGCGGCAGCATCAGCAGCAGGTACAGCGGCAAATGCAACTGCAACAGCAGCAGCAGCAACAGCTTCTCATGGCTCAACGCCAGCAGGAACAGCAACAACAGCAGCAGCAACAGTTGCAAGTGCAGCAGCAACACCAACAGCAGCAGCAGCAAAGGCCGCCACAGAAGCAATTCATCATCAATCCACACACTGGCGACATGGAACCCATGGCCAGCGACGACAGCGATACAGAGGCTGAGCAGGAAACTGCACAGCTGCAATTCCGCAGCAGCATGTCCAGTGGCTTGAACAACTTCAGCTTCAATCCCGCCAACGATATGCTACTGCCCAACAACATCTTCTCGGAGGAGGACTCCAATTCGGCACAGCAAATGCCGCTGGCTGGCACTGGCAGCAGTGATCAGGAGCGTTCACGTGACTCGCTGGCATCCAACAAGTCTGCTGCCTCAAATCGAGCCAGAAAGGGCGCGGGACCGGCTGCAGTCAAGGCGAATCACAACAATTTGGGTGGCGAGAGCTCGCCACGATCCAGCAATAGTTCTCCGCTGATTGGTGGACTGAACTCGCCCCAATCGGCGACTGCCAGTGGTGTTGCGGCAGCAGCGGCGGCTTCGAATAAAAAAGCGAAACCGAATCTATTGCGAGGCAAGCTGCAGCAGGGTGTCAAGGAGCGCAAGGCCAAGGATACCACAACGACGCCGAAACCGAAGCGAGAGCGGGCCAAAGGCAATGCCAAGACAAAGGCTGCGGAGGAGAAGCTCAAGCTGCGATTGAAGATTGATAAAGTGGAGCCGGGCATGAGCTACGATGGACAGATAATTGTCAATCATCAGCAGACAGTTGTGACCAACAATCATATGCAACAAGCACTGCCAATGCAGACACAATTGCTGACAATGCCAACACAGCAGCAACAGCAGCAGCAACAACAACAGCAGCAGCAGCAGCAACGTCCGCAGGCGCAACAACAAGCACAGCCTCAGCAGCTACAACATCAGCAGCAGCAACAGCCACAGGTACACCTGCAGCAGCAGCAGCAGCAGCAACATCCACAAGCCCAACATCATCCGGTGTATGCGAACTTTCAACAACAGCAGCAGCAACAACAATCTGTGCAAGGCATCAATGAGCCACGTGTGCCACCACTGCAGATACGCTTGCGTGGCAAGAATCATGTTGTAGTCAAGAATACGCGCAAGGATCGCAAGAAGCTGCAAACGCCACTGGTGCAGGGACACGTACAGGGACAGGGGCAGGAGCTGAACAACATCAACGATGAGCGTCAACTGAAGCGCAGCTACAGCGAGCAGCTGCCCCAACAGCAGCAACAGCAACTTCTGCTGGATGGTTTGGTGGATAACAAGACGGCAAAGCTGACGCCACCGCCACATGTGAATGGGCTGCCCATACTCATACAGAAAACCACACAGTCGGCAGCGGGCATGCAGCAGCAGCAACATTTGCAAACGGGTGCCACCAAGACCACTACAATTGTGGCGGGAAAGAATGGTTTGACCATCAGTGCCATTGTTGAGGCGGCGCACAAGGCTCAGGCGCAAGCGCAAGCCCAAGCTCAAGGGCAAGTGCATGGCGGTGGGGATACTCAGCTGATTGTCGGCTCCACCAATACGGGAACAACGCCGACAACATCCACAACTTTGCAGCAACAGCAGCTTAGCAAAATAGCCACATCTTTGCCCAGCAGCATCACTTTGAGTGCCATCAATAGCAGCAACAACAATAACAACAATAATAATATTGCCAGCAGTGGCGTCATCAATATTAACAACAACAACAACAATAACAACAACCGACTGCTGACGATGAAGAATCAGATCAAGACTGCGGCTACCATAACGCCCATTGTGGGTGGAAAGCCGATGACAAAAAACCATAAGCCGCCGCCATACATCACAGCCGTGCAACAGTTGCAGCTGCAGAAGCAACAGCAGCAGCAACAGCAACAACAACAGCAGCAGCAGCAACAACAGCAGCAGCAGCGACAACTGGCGGCGGCGGTAACCATGTTGCCAAGTGCAACGACACTGAAGCGTGTCGAGATCACCAAGGTCACAGCTGGTCCACAGGTGACACAAACAACAGCAGCAGCACCACCAACAGCAACAGCAGGAGAGGCTCCGAGCATACCAACAGCAACCGCCACAAGCAATCTGACAACCATGACGGCGACAACAACTACACAAACAACAAACCAGCTGATCTGTGATAGAAAGTTGCCAGTGGCAACGTCGGCAACTGCGGCTACGGCTACGTCAATGCCTCTGACTACGGTCAACAATGTGGTGGTGGCGGCTGTCAGTCAGCAGCAACAGCAGCAATCTGCTCCAGCATCAGTGAACAGCAGCTCCCTCTCCACATCAACCTCATCCTCATCCTGCTCATCGGTATCCTCGGCAACGATTATTACCAGCTCCTCCACCTCTACCTCATCGCCGGCTGCACTGCCCAGCACGCTGCGCAGTTCGCCGGCAAGCAATGGCAGTGGCACGCCCGGACATGGCAATAATGGCGGTGGCGAGGATAGCGGCATTGAGTCGATGGATGCACTGTCCGAGAAGAGTCCACATCAGCTCTCCTCCAGCAGTCCCATACAAGTGAGCAAGACAGGCGTGACACAACAACAGCAGCAGCAGCTGACGAGTAGCAGCAGCAGCAGCGGATCCATGACGAGCACAGCCACTGTCGTAACCACTGCCTCGTCGATGGTCGCCAAAACAGTCACACCCGTGGCTCCGTGCTCGGGCAGCGTCTCCCTCACGCAGCAACAAATGCAGCAGGCAGACGATGAGATTGAAAAGGCGCTGGCCAAAATGGAAGGCGACTTTCCCGACGATCTCGAGAATATTGTCTCCAATGTGCTGAAGGAGGCGAGCGAGTGTGCCAGTGCGGGCGGTGGCTATCATCTGAGCAGCTTGGAGACATCAACAGCAGCAACAGTAGCAACATCTGTAGCAAGCAACGTCAAGTTGAATGGAGAGCACAGTATACTCGAACACGATGATCTCATCAAGAAACTCACAGACAACAGCAAGACGACACCAGCGGCTGCAGCGGAATCGAAGGCAAAGGTGAAGCTGGAGGAGCTGCCGCCACTGTTGTCCATTAAAAAGGAGACGCCCGGAGTCGGTTTAACCCCCAAGTCGGGTCTAATCAAAGTCGAACAAGTGCCCAAGCTGGCGGCAGAGCTGAAATTGGAACTGAAAGTGGAACCCAAGCTGGAGGAGAAGCTATCGGAGAAGCCAAACGCTCAGCCAGAGGTCAATGCTGCGGCTGGTGCGGCTTCTTTGCAGCCCATTTCGATAGAGATACCCGCACAGACGGACGGTGAGACGCCGCGGATAAGGACACGGGCCGCTAGTCGCCTGGAGAGTCCATTGGATGCTGCTCAAAAGACCAGTCCCGAGGCAGCAACAGCTGCAACAACACCTGCACCGGCAAAGACCGTTTCGCGATCATCCTCCAATGCCAGTCCGCGTGTTCTCACGCCTACGCCCGTGCACAACAATAACAACAACAACAATAGCAAGCGACGAAGGCCAGAGTCCGAGTGTGGCAGCAGCAATGATGCCGCCGATGTCACCGAGAACACCAGCAAGCGTGCGCGTGTGAGCCTCGGCGGAAGCGTGGGTGTACCCGCCACAAATGCGGCAGAGTTGGCGGTGGATCAGAGCACCGGAGGCACAGCAGCACCAACGCAGCCTAAGAAGATCGAAATCGAATCATCGGACTCGGATGAGCCGCTGATTGAGGTGGCCGGCAAGGTGCGCAACTCCAAGGCGCAAGTGGAGGCAGATGCAGTGGCAGCAGCAGCAGCGGCGGCGGCAGCAGCCGTCGAGAAGCACGTGACGCGCCGCAATGCACAGCAGCAGCAGCAGCAACAACAGCAGCAGCAGCCACACAGTAAGTGAACTTTTAATTATTTATAAGTAGAAACTGACATAAGAAACTCCCTTCGACCCACAGAACCCGCCAGCAACAGCTCATTTAGTAGCACGCCACCGCCTGGCACGCCCAGGAGTGGCAAGGCTCAAGCGGCAGGTGCGGCAGCCAGCAGCAATCATAATGCCAGCAGCGGCAGCAGCAATTCCAACAGTCCCAGTGTACCTGTAACAGTGGCAGGAGCGGCAGCAGCATCGCCTGGTGGCGCAGCAGTACTAGCCACCGGCAGCACTAGCACCAGCAGCAGCGGAAGCGGCAGCCAAACCAACACCAACTCAATTGTGGTGCATGCAACTCGTGGTGCCACTGCTGCAGCAGCTGGCGGAACGACTAACAACAATGCCAGCACTGCCAGTTCGCCCACAGACGAAAAGATTGGCACGCGGCGAAGTGTGAGGGCCAGTGCGGCCGCCAACAAAATCATTTATAGCCGCAGCAATGCTGCCGCTGCTGCTGCTGCAGCCGCTGCCGCAGCCGAACCGAAAGGGACACCGTTGAAGTCGGGAGTGGGAAATGCCAATAATGCTAGTGCCGCCAATGTGGAGAGCGTGGCGGAGGCCAGACGCAAGACACGCAGTGCAGGTGAGTGTCCATCGATGGTACACACATAGCGAGGAGCAAGGCATTAAATTCTACTTCCTCTTCTGTGTTTTCTGCAGTCATTGGCGAGTCGATGCTGACCGAGGGACGCCGGAGAAGAACATCGCGTGACTACAAGTGACCAGAGTTTTGCGCCTTGGCTAAAGGCTTGAACCATCCGAACGATGCACAAGATGATGATCTGATGGAGCTGTTCGAGCTGGGTGCCGCCGATGAGCAGCTTGACATCAGCAGCTTCCCTTTAGCCCAGGCGCAAGACGATGATGTGGATGATGACGATGTGGATGATGATGATGATGAGGTCGAGTATGATCATCTGGCGAGAGCAGCCGGCGGCGGCGGTGGCGGCTACATGGAAGAGGCTGATCATCTACTGTCCTACCACAGCAGCAGCAGTGCCGCGGATGTGGAGGTCGATATGGATGTGGATGTGGACAATGATGCGGTCAGTTTGCTAATGCCCGAGCTGGACAGTGCCACAGCGCTCGATTGTGGCAACTTTGTTGACTACGATGAGTTCAATTTGTGTCTGAATAACATACTCAGTGAGGAGGATGATGACAGTGGAGGTGCTGGTAATGGCAACGGTGGGGCCAACGGCAACGGCAACGGCATAGCCTCAAAGCATCAGCATCAACAATGGCGCGATGCCAGCGATGTGCTCAATATTGTGCAACTCAATAACGATCTGGGCCTGAGTTTCCAGGAGTTTGTCAGCGAAACGACGGCCGATGAGCAGCGATCCGTAAGCAGCAGCTCGCCACAACTGGCATAGTGGGCCGCCACTGTGCCACTAATCCGTCAAATCCAATGCTACCTGTATATACACACACACACCAACACATGCACTGATACTGAACGCTTTCGTTTGTAATTTATAGTCGTAATTTGCGTTGAAGAATTATATAGTTTTGTTTTTTGTATAGTTAGTGGTAGCCACAAGTTGCAATAATGTTGCATCTCATAGCGAGCAACATCACACACACACACACACACACAAACACACAGATAGAAACAGTTTGCAAGAGCCAGAGCCTAATCTATATTGTTTTTAACTACACCCCTGAAATCAATCAACTACTTCTAGCCACGAGCTTAAGCATCTCTTATAACGATATTCTCAGCATCTAACACGCTCCACCCCATTGGAAATGAAATGATTTTGCTAGTCAACGTGAAAACAGGCAATTTATGTATAGCTCCCGAAAGAGGAAACATTTTTGAACAAATTAGTTGAATATACTTCACATTAAACACACTCGACAACACACATCCATCTAACACTTAGGCAAAAGTAGTTGGCAGAACAGAAAATTTCATCTAACATCCACCCCCTACCCCTCATGCATAGTTTCAATATATTTGTACATATCTATTTTATTTCTTTTTAGTTTTTTCCTTTGATGCAACATGAACACATTTCTAGTTTTTAGGTTGTCCTTAAATTAATGCATTAGGTTTTGTCTTATACATATTTTTTCAACATTTAACTTGCGATTTATGCATGCAGTGCATAGAGTAAGAGTTGCGAATGCAGAATACAGATCAGATATAGCCAGATATATATAGTTTCTGTAAGCTTTCGTTGTTTCGATACAAATTTGTTTTTTAGTTTTAAATGCTTTAGCCACATAAGGACAGTAATAATTACGATATTTCTTTACCAATCAACCAACCAACCAATCCCCCAATATTATGCACATGGAAACGAAAAATCCGATACGCAATAAGTTAGTCAAAAATGTAAAAAGGCCAAGCACCATACACAAATGAAAAAACACAAAAAACAGACAAAAAAATCAAGAAAAAAATACAAAAAAAAACCATGAACATGAACCAGGAAAAAAGAAGCGAAAATGCAAAGTGGGAAATTTAGTATTTGTCATTTTGCAACAAGTGAAAGAACATATATATATATATATATATAGACAGAAAACATACCGTATATAATGTTATATATTTTGCATAAATCCACACCATCACACCACACACACACACACACACACCAGAAAAAGTAGAGGGAAAACCACACAAAAAATAAAAAATATAAAGTTGTATTGTATATAAGGCAGGCTCTATTTTTGCTAAATGTTATTTGAACAAATAGGGGAAAACAAAAACGAAAAATAAAAAACAAATAAAAAGTCAAGAGAGTAAAGTAAATGAAGCAAATGCAAAAAAAAACGCTAGGAAAACGATAAACACAAAATCCACAACATTATATATATATATATTTCTTCACACGCATATATATACTGTTCAATATTATTATTATCTTATATATATATTGTATGTATGATTGCTATATAAAATAGTTCTTTTGATACTTTGTACATGTTTTAATTTAAAGCAAGGCAAAAAACGAAACAAAAAAGTAAGCGTATGAAATGCCCAATCCTTAGCATAACTTGCATAGATACACACACATATAGTACCGATAAACACACACACACACGTATATATATATAGAAGAAGAATTCATTACTGCATACCAGCCACAGGCCAGAGCCCAAGTCCTAATCCCCCAGCACCATCCTGAGCTCCGTAATAAAAGCGAAAGGAAAGGCTGCACCTGAAGAACGCGTATTTAGTGAACTTTATTTAGATATTTTTCTGAAGACAGACAAAACTGCAATAAGCCTCCCCCCGCTAAGCACAGCAGCAAACAAAAATGTTAATCGAAAGTTGTATAAAACGTATAAAAATAATTTATATACCAGTACACACACACACACACAAAACACAAACAAATAAACAGAAAAATATATATATTTAAAAAGCAAATGCAAAAAGTATAAAACAACCACAAGATGAACAACAACAAAAACGAAAGTGTCTTAAAACCGTAGTATTAGAAGTTTATTATTAATTTGTTTGTACTTTAAAGTAAAATATTTATAGAAAAAGAAAAAATACAAAGATTTAATATACACAGAAAATAAAAAAAATACAATCTCTTTTACTTAGATTTAAACTAATTTTGGGATATACTTTTAGGTATAGTTTTGAAGGTATTAAATTCATTAAAAACAATATTCTATGAATCTTATTTATCAGAAATTTCTGGTAAGACCAAATTATAATATAATTTTATGAAATTATTAGGCCATTTATACATTTTCAACACGAATAATGCACATATTTTTATGGAATTTATTTACAATTTAAAGCATAAGTATTTATTTAATTTTAAGGGATGGCTCTTCAAAATTTCCTTTCCTTCTTGAAGTTTCCTAGGCATTAATAGGGCTACGAATTGATTTGATTGATGCTGTTGAACGGTTATAAACACAGGATTATGTAAATTGAAATTATTTAATTGTAACCATTAAAACTCTTTGAATATCTATTAAAACGGTAAATTCCTTGCCGTCACATAAAGACCTGCAAAGGATCATGCCCCCAAAGAAATAATCTTCGTTCAATTCTTAAGCAGCCCAACTAAAAACCCGCTGATAATTTTGAGGCCTATCGGCAATCTCTCAACAGCTTTGTTGTCCAACAAAAAAAAAACATTGTCACCATCCTTTCTCACGGCGCCGGCGCAGAGCACAGAGCTTGTCGGCTTCATGGGACCAAAAGGATGGAACAGCAGCGACCAGCAGATGCGGCCAGCCAGGGGTTGGCAGTTGAGAGCGAGGGCCGCAGTGAGCAGCACGGCAAAAGCGGAGACAGGCAGGAGAGACCCAGGAAAACGCAACACGTAACAGCGCCGACCAGGTGGAGTGGCGAGAGAGGCAGGACGGGCAGTCAAAGGATAGGCATTCAGTGCTGTATACACAGGGAGCCAACAAAAATAAAAGAAAAACTATAACGCCTGCCGCCTGCTTCAGAGTAAGTAAACCAAAGGATTTATTCTTAATAGTGTGAAGTGCATGCAGTACTCGGGGTGCCCAAAGTATGTACAAATAACGGTACATATCTACATGTGTATTTGTTGGCATGGTCTGCCGTTGTGTTACAGTTATAACTGCTCTCAAGTGGTCTCTGAGGTGTTATGAATACTTTAAGGCTCTCGTGTCCTGTTATTCCACACATTCAAATCCCAGTCCCACCCAACTAATGACACCATAAAAAGCGAAAGAACAACTAGCAGCAAAGACCATAAAAACGTAACGGGAAAAACAGCTGCAAAAACAACAAACAAACTAGAAATAAGCAAAAAAGAAAAACGGAGCAGAAAGAAAAGTAAATGTTGACGTTTAAGGATGACGTCCTACTTTTGGAGTGTTGCTGCTGCTGTTGCCAGCAGCGCCCAGTACTCGCGCTCTCTCTCTCTCTCTTTCTCCGCGTTCATGTCCACGTCCAGTCGTGTGCGTGCGTGGTGTATGACGTAGTTCCATGTTCCATGCGCGTATGTATGCATACTCTTTGGTGTGTACACACCAACAAGTGTCGCCTGGTGAAAGCGCCAAAAAAGAACAAGCAGTGGTGGGAGGAGAATGTAGATGAGAAAAAGAAACGGTTTCTTGGGGTGGGCACGTACCGAAGCTTTTGATACCCTGGCAGGCACAACTTTGCTACACTTAATACTTTTCTCTAAAAAAAGGAATCATAATTATTTTTCCATTAATAAGGCTAAACTCTTACCCGAACTGATTACCATTCCAATGCCATCCATACAGAGACATCCCGCACCATCCCCTGGAACATGTAGTGGCCGTGCTAGAGCGGCGTTCTGGATTCTTATAATGATCATACGCCTGCGGTATGGAAGACGCCTGCAGACCTATCTGAAGATAGGTGCCTGTGTCCTGGTGGGCGTCTGCTACTTTGCCTTCCTCTTCCGCGAGTCCCTCAATGCCTACGAGCATCGAGAGCGTGCCACGGCCGCCGAACTGGAGGCAGACGCCGCGGAGCCCTCCAAGCAGCAGCTCAAACTCAAGCGCCAGCAAATGCAGCGACAAAGACTGCTGGCACAGCAACTGGCAGCGGCACAGGGCAACACTGGGTCCAATGCCAGCACTGGCACGGCGGCCACCGCTGCTGTAGCTCCACCACCGCCTGCGAGCACACTGAATCCCGTCTACGAGTACTCCGAGGAGCTGCACAGCAGCACGGAGCGGGAGTTGCAGCGAAGACGCGAACACCTGGCCGCCGTCTGTGAGCGCTACAAGTTGCAGGAAAAGTACCCACCGAATCCCTGGGAGTTCTTTGTCTCACCGGGCCACAACAATCTCGTTTGGTTTGTTTTTCTGGATATACTCCCGCCTGAAATTCCTTCTAAATCTTTGACTCCTTGCAGGTGCAATGTCTTCAAGGCGGCCAGCAGCACGTGGATGTATTACTTCAATATTCTAGGTAATTATCACAAAACTCTCTTAAGAACTTGAATCATTTGTTACCTTCATCTTCCAGCTGGCTACGATGTCAAATATCTGCAGCGCACAGAGACTCAGCCGCTGGAGCTGGCGCGCAAGCGTTTTCCCCGACCGGAGCTGGCCGAACTGATGGAACTCCTGCCCAGTGCGTTGTCCTTTCTGTTTGTGCGCGATCCTTTTGAGCGTATACTGAGCGCGTACCGCAACAAGCTGGAGGGCAATCGAAACACCTTCTACAAGGCTTTGGGCACCAAGATTGTCAAGCGCTTTCGTAACCACAGTCTGGGTGGACCCTGGCCGCGTTGCGGACCCACCTTCGAGGAGTTTGTGCGCTTCCTCATAGCCGAACGTGACGCCAGCAAGCGTTTCGACGAGCACTGGGCGCCCATCTACAGCTTCTGTACACCGTGCAGCGTCAACTTTACCATCATTGGCAAGACGGAGACGTTCCAGCGCGACTCGGAGTTCATTATACGACAGGCGGGCCTGGAGACGCTGCTGCTGGGCCTGGGCAAATTGCCGCAGCGAAAGCAGCGCAGGATCGGCAATCAGGCGCAAAGCGGCATCAAATCGGAGGCCGTGGTTGAGCGCTACTTTGCCGATATCGATCGCTCAACGTTGGACCAATTGCTCAAGATATATCGCATCGATTTCGAGCTTTTTGACTACGATTACCGCAAGTACTACGACATGGTGCGTCCCTGGAGCCTAGAGCAGAGCACAGCAGGCACGGCAGCAGCTGCAGCTTCCGTTGTGTCTACGAGCACGGCTCTGCCGGCTGCGGCAGCTGGCTCCACGCAAAGCTCAGCGGCGGCGTAGAATGCAGAAAGCTCAGTAGGAACAAGCCCCCTACCCAATGTGAATTTAATTGCATGGAGATGTTCGATGTTCGATGTTGTACGCTGTGGGGAGAACCATCAACTTATTCACCACGCGCAGAGAGACAAGCGGCAGAGTCTTCCCTGTGGTGAAGCCGTCCCCTTGCAAGTAAATTCACTTTGTCCCTACCCCTCCCCAAAATGCGATGCGTCGTCAAACAATCTTATCATGTACCTTTTTACACACACCGAACAAAAACACTCGAAACGAACCACACAAGCAACCAACCAAAAACAGAACCCAACCGAAGCTAACAAATCTACCAAAAGTTTAAGGCCAAAATCAACGTTTTCCAAAAACGCAAAAACAAAAACAAACCAAAGAAACACCAAAACAAACAAACAAAAAAAACTCTTGACCTCTCTTAGATAATGCCAAAAAAACAAAAAAAAAAAAACAAAATATTAAGGAATGAAACTTAGTTAGAAAAGGTAAAGAAAATGCATTTTGATGGATTTTGCCAACAAAATTCTTACACGAATCCCTTAACAAAAAAAAGCAAACAATTTTACAACTCCCACACGAGATGGACCGAGGCGTGGCGTGGCGTGGAGTGGCATGTGTTGTGTTGTAGCTAGCGTTTAAGTACCTACAATTTACAGTTGCACTTTCAACCAAATGAACAAACCAAGAAAAATATGATATACCATATATAGATAAACGATATATATACACAGACCTCTATACCAAAATATCGCGAACGCTAATTCTTCAAGGCAAGGCTGGAGAGAAGTTATATACAAACCACAAAGTGAGAGATCGTCTTAAAAATAAAAACAAATTCTGTATTTACATTTATATTTACAACCGAATCCAAGTCCCCCCTCCAAAAAAAACTCTCAACAACCACAACATATGGTACTTACTATTCATAAGCTATTATACATATACTCGTATATATATTAATGAAATTTATAAACAGGTCTTGATCTAAGTCTATAACTTTTGTGGACTAGATACATTTTTCATAGGCTAATTACGAAACAATCCAAAGAAATTCTTGTACGTGGAAAATCTTCAAAATGATAAATTATACCAAAGGACGAAAGTATTTCAAATGATAAACACAAAAACCAAACAAGAAAAAACTTTTCATGTGATGTTTAAGGATTTATTATATAAAAAACCAAAAAACAAAAAAAACTCAGAGAAAATATTTAATTATTAAACCTTTATTGTATTTCAAATAATGAATGATAACAAAATGATAAATGATAAAAGACAAAAACAAAATTAGTGACATACACACGATATTATTATGAATAAAACTTAAAATTATCAATATCTTTTTTTCGTTGTACAAATACAAACAACAAATCTATTAAGAATAAATATAATCTCTTTACCACTCAACAAGGGAAGTGTTTTGTTTTTGGATTCCATAAACGGCAGCAAATAAATTAAATAATTTCAAAATCATTGAAGGCTCTGAAATATATGTTCTAGCCTATGCTCTATAGCTTTCATTTCACTTCATTTACAAACTGAAAATTGTCGAGCTCCGGTGAAAACAAACATTTTTCCAACAAACAAATTAAAATTAAAAACTCAACCATGAGTACCAGGTAAGAGCTCTCCCTATAACCCTCTCCAGCAATTTGTTAACCCTTCTAAACCACAGCACAAATCAGCTTGGACTGCGGATCTGTCAGCTTATTCAGAGCCAAAGCCAGCCAATTAACTATGAACGACTTATATCTCTAATCGAAGAAGGACAAAACGAGCCGTTGAATACACAGGAAATAACCAAAATAAATGCCGCATTGCGAGCTGGCCTGCGCCGTGGCTTTTTTCAACGCGTTCGTGGAAAGTTTTCTGTGTCTCCCTGCCTTCAATAAGTTTCAAGTAGAAAGAAGCACAAGAAGATGAAGCTCAAACAGAATCAAAATTAAAGCAGAATAAGCTGAATATATTTGTTGAGATTTGTAGTCAAAAAATATAATTGTAAATGTATCTACCCCAAGTTCGAGACTTCTCCAATCGCCTCACTGCATCACCTTTAACTTCCACTTAAATCACACGTTGAGGGTTTTTTTTATCATTATAAATATGTAGTTTTATTTTCATTGATCAACACAAACGAGTTATATATTTAAGTATGTGTATGCATATATTTAGTTGGTATAGATTCACATTATATCGATATAGTCATATAGACAGCGCTGCAAATGGACAGTAAGTAATTGTAATAGTAATAATCATATGTATTTTCTTGTGTGTGTTTCATTCAGTTTGTGTAATTTAATTGTGTATTATCATATCGATATAGAGTAGTTCGTAGAGTTAATACAACTGTTAAGGTGAATGATCGTTCTCACATGGACACATATTGAAATGGCCCAGCATTTGGCCAAACAACAACGACAAATACAATATACAATATTTAGTATAAGGTTTTCGATTTTTGTTTTTTTTTTGTCTTTCCTTGAAGATATTTTAGTTCTAGTTTTTTTGTTCAGAGTTTCTTAAACTTTGATAACATTTAGGTTAAAGCGCTGTGCCACCACAAGAGGGGCAAACCAAAGCAGCAGCATCAAACAAATAAATAAATGGAGAACGACAAACATTAAGGTAGGGGAGACATTTTTTAAAATTATTTATTGCAGAATATAGTAGTAGAATATATTACGAATTCTCTTCAGATTTCTTGCATCTCTCAAGTTTTGAATGTGCTTCACGCTTTTCTTTCACTTAATTGTTAATGTATATGTTTTTTTGCTTCACTACACAATAAAAAATAATATAAAATAAAATATTTAAAATAAGCTTAGCTTGCAACTAAAATTATGTACACGAATATCGTAGGAATAGATAGCATATATAATATATATATATATATATATAAATCAGATGTATAATAATTGTGTAATATGTACAATAGCAAAATACTTGGTAACGTTTTTGTTTTCCTATAAATAATATATTTTTGTTTCTTTCAATCTGTGCATAAGGAAACTTTGGGACACAATAAACGTGTTTCGTGGTGACCCCGACTGACGGTCACCAATCTCCTTTTAGAAAAGAAATTCTTGTAAGTTTGTTGATCTTAGGGATTCTTCGTTTTAGCTCCGACTTAGACGAGATCTATATAGTTTAACGCACAGACACAAATACATATTGTGGGTACACGTTTACAGAACAGAATAAACACAGATACAATTAGAGTTACAGACACAAACAGATATATAGAGATAAGAATTAGAGTTGGAGTTGGATAAACATGCATCTTGCGATAGATATAAACTCTGCTAATAGTTAACACTCTCCCTGGACTTGGGGCTTTAAAACATTCCTTACATGTAGCTCTGGAGGTACTATATATTTAATCGTACTCAAAAATTGTGTGTGATTCGGTATGTGTGTCGTGTGTCAGGAGAACAACTGGCGCCATGGAACTCTCTCCTCTTCGTATCCGCTCCGCAAAACTTAACCTCGACTCTGATTTAACCAGAGTCTCTGTCTCTTCGCTCTCTCTCCTCTGCCTTGCTTTCTCCTCTCCTGATACTGCTCCTCCTCCCTTGCCTACTCTGCGAGTATCATCATGCTCTTGATGCTGGCCACCTCCGACTCGAGGCGCTCTAGCTGCGTCTTCAGCATTTGATCGCGTTCGGCTGTGGATACGACGACAGCGGGTGCACCCTCCTTGGGTGCCAGCAGCTTGCGCTGGAACTGCGCCGTCCACTCGGCACTGGCGATGGAGATGCCCGAGTCGCGCTCGTCGCTGGAGTTGTCACCGCCATCGTTCCAGGCCGGCGGAGAGGCTCGGCTGCAGTTGGGCTCTTGCTTGATGTGCTGCAGGGAGAGCAGAGCTGTGGCCGCTGCATCCTTGTCGCCCAGGTGAGATTTGTGGCGCAGCTTGAGGGGCAGACAGTTGTTGGCGTCGCTGTTGCCACCGGCATGGGCTGGACTGTTGCGTTGCAGCTGCAGTGGTGCCAGATGAGTGCCATGGACAAGCGGCTCAAGCTCCTGCTCGTCATCGCCGGAGCCGGCACCGGATGACCCAGACGAGAGGGCTGAAGAGGCGGGAGAGGACGTTGAGGTGGTGGAGGAGAGCATGTGCTCGTAGCTGGGAGAGCAGGCCCGTCGCGACAAGTTCAGCACGCTGGCTGCGGCTGAAACGGCAACGGAGGAGCTACTGACCGCATCCACGGCACTGCTGCTGACGGCTCCCTCCACGCTGTGATTCCACGCGGCGACTTCCAGATGCTCCTTGTTGATGGCGCCCACATATGGACCCGCGGCGGGCACATACAGCGAGGCACCGGGTGGCGGTGGTCCCTGTGCACCCACAGCAGCTGCATTATAGAGTGCTCCGACGGCCACCGCCTTGCGGAGGCTGTCCAGATCCTCGGGCCGCACATTGCGATTGAGCGCCTGCTGGAGCTGCACCTGCAGGCTGGCGATTGTGTTGGTGGGCGGGCGGTTGTGCGTGTCGACGGGCGGCGAGCTGGTGCCGGCACTGGGAGTGGGCTCCTGCTGTTGTTGCTGTTGCTGATGCTGCTGTTGCTGCTGCGGCTGCTGTGGCTGGTAGAGATGCTGGGGCTGGTGTTGGGGCTGTTGGGGCACGACCAGCGTTTGCAGGTGTGAGGGCTGAGGAGGTGCTGGTGGTGCATGCTGAGCATGATGGACGCTCTTGACGGGCGGCTCGACAGAGGACTGTCGTCCATTGCCATTGGGGCCGTATATGAGAGGTGTCAGTGGAGCATTCTGTCCATTGTAGCCGCTGTGTGAGTGTCCGCTGGGCGAGGAGCCACCGTCACAGGTGGGCGACGAAGAGGACGATGAGCCGCCGCCGCTCATCTTGGCGCGCTTTGTGTTGCTCAGCACCTGCTCGCTGGTGGGCAGCGAGGCGAGAATCTTCTCCACGCTCACCAGATTCTCCCCAGAGATATTGAATTTGTCGCGTATGGCATCCAGCTGGGCCTTCAGAACATGGTTCTCCTTGGTCAGCTCAATGACGCGCTGCTCCAGCACCATGTCATTGTAGCGACGCTTCTCCCGGCTGCGCTTGGCTGCCTCGTTGTTGCGCCGCCTGCGATCCCAGTAGCTTTCATCCTTCTTGTTGTCTGGCGTAAACTCCCGCTGCTTGCGCTGCGAGAAGAGCTCCTTTTGGGCGGCCGTCATGGCCGATTGTGGCCCATTGCCGTTCTGTGAGTTCTTGCCCATCATGCTGTCCCCGTAGCCATTGCCTTGGGAGAACTTGCCCAGACTGTCGGACATGCCGCTGTCGTTGGACTGTGGACTGATGGATCCTCCGTACATGGACAGGGGATGCACTGCAAAAGGATGAAGAAAGAGTTTAGTTAGATTGGAACTGAGTTCTTGGGTGTGTTTTTTTGTAGACTTACAATTTGTGGACTCGTTGGAGCTGCCGTTCATGGACAGCGTTGGCGAAATGTTTGTCAAACGGACGTTGTTCATCATGGAGATCGAGCTGGAGATGGCTTTGTTGTGGCTATTTGTGGGCGTGCCGCTGAGCACTTCGGGCATTGCTGAGTCCTGGTAGAACTGCTTTTCAGGCTCCCTCAGGGGCGTCAAATGTGCACCACCCGCTGCTAGTGCGAGGGGATGCTGGTGTGGACTGTATGGGTAGTCGCCGCTGCTGCCACTCAGCTTGTGCTGGCTGTAATGTTGCAACTGCACGGATTTCTGGTGCAAGTGATGTTGCTGCTGTTGGGAGTTGTGCTGCTGTGTGCGTGCAACTGCAATGTAGAGTAAGAAAAAAAAAGATTAATTAACTTGTTTATGATTGAATATGTCATTATCTTAAATTAGCTTTTTCAACCTCTTTCGCACGCCTAAAAACATGCTACACATTTTTAAACAACAATTCTTGTCTTATCACTAGGTCTTTTGAGGCAAAACCAAAACACCTTTGCTCCAATTTAAAGTCTCCAGATACCGACTATCTCCTGCTGCTGCTGCCAGTAACACAAGGCCACTTAACACATATTTATGACATTTATTCTATAATGTTATCTGCTCCTCCACCGCTATCGGGGGTTATTGGCAAGAGTTCTGCTCGATTGGGGTCCGAAATGTCTAATGCGATCTCCTATGCAGACACAAATAACGGCACACACACACTCACACCCTCGCAGACTTTCTTTGTTTGATGGTCCTTGCCCTTGCCACCCAACCCATCGAAAGTAGCTGCAGAGGGGGAGAGAACCCACTCGAATTTTGCTTTCGTTTTTAGCACAAGCATTTACACAATGATTACGGCGAATGATGCAAGAATCGGCGAGAATTAGACGGCACAGAGAGAGGGAGAGAGAGAACCAGCAACAAAGGCACACAGGCAGACACAGACGGCGGCGTCGGAACGTAAACAAGAAATCGCACGTCGGATATTGGTGATGTTTGTGTGTGTGTGTGTGCTCTCGGTCGCATCGTCTCACCCTCGCCGTGACCATCGAATTGGCATTTACAGTTCAATGTGCTCGCCAGCACACACACACTTATACGCGACGCTTGTACAGCCAGTCACGTCAGCGGCCAGACACTGTTAACGTCGACGCTGACGCCGCAGCTGCCGGCAACCCCTACGAAAACGGCACCCACCCACCCCAAACAGCTACAGCAGCAGCGGCAGCAGCAGCAGCAGCAGCAAAGAGCAAGCAACAGAGGAACGACTGCAGTCGCTGCCTTGACAAAATTCACAAAAACAACATGACTAAGCGTGCACGGCCAACCATGCTGACTCTTCTCTCTTTCTCCCTCCACGTTCAACCGAACACATTCTCTTCATAAGAAAATTGCAAATTTAGGTGCTTTTTCTGATTAATTGGTAACTGTTTTTGTTGGTTTGTTGGTTTATTGGAAACACCTACATTGCGACTCCTTGTGGCTATTTGGTGTGGTTGTATCCTGCTTGTAAGGGGTATCCAAATTGTTGCTGTTCTTCAGAATCAACAGATTCTTGGTCGTTGCAGCCGCTTTGAAAAAGTTCACTTTTTGCTC